CACAAAGACAGTATGTAAGTATGCTGCTAAATTTTACTGTGTTTTATGCTTACAGAATTGTCTGTACAGTATAGGGGGGTATTCACATTCTGCATTCTAGAGGCAACATACTCAATTCTCCCTTTACTGCTGTCCTTGCTGCTTCATTGTTCTGCTTGCATCGAAGAGTTCTTGCGGTCTGTTTAAGGCGAAAGAAAGGATAATTAGGCTGGTTCAAACTAAATCCCATTTTAACTATATCCCCTCTTAGTTTGGAAACTCAAATTTTAAAAAATGCACTAAAAATGCCAAGAGAAATACCTGTGTTCTTCTGAAAATGCTGCTAGCAAATTTTGGGCGGTAAAGGATTCCTTTAGTGGCAAAGCACTCCTTGGAGATATAAACAAAATTACTTCCATTATTTTTTTATGGGAGACTGTAGTTTATAATGAGCATAGAGCTGAGGATGGAGCTTAGTATGTAGACACTGCGGATTCTCTTTGTCGTGACCAATATTTTGAATTTCGTACAGGATAGGAATGTTCTGGTGTGTTAGCTCCCTGTGAGTTGAACATTTCTGCTTTAATATTCTGGGAAGGGGTAGGAGTAGGGGGAATCTGGCTGCTGGAAAGATTATTCTCACTTTAGAGATTTCATCAGATATTGTCCTTCAGGTTTTTGTTTTAGTGAATATTTTTGCAAGAAGTTTGCTTGTTGCATGGAGCGCTGAGAATCTGGGGAAATAGCTTATCTGATGGTGTAGTGACTGTGGGGGACCAGGACTAGCAAGACCTGTTTTCTTGTGTCTGTTTTTCTTCTGCTCACTGTAATTGTGGGTGATCTACAATACTCTACTTCAAAAGCTGAAAGGAAAATAAATGGGAGGGATTTACCATCTTCGCATCTTAGAAGGTATTGGGGGAAGATTAAAAGGAAGATATGCATTTACTCAGGCCCCTGTTACCTCTGTGGCAATAATTTGAATTACTAGTTCTGAAAAGGACGACAAAGCCAACCAGTGAGAAAGCGTAAAAGTTCTTTTAAAAAATCTGTGCCTCTAGGTTTTATTTCTGGATAGAAAACAGGACAACAGAGCAGCTGTTTATATGAATGAAGCTAGGGATGAATTTTTAGTACAGTACTTGATGAAGTCAACATAAGCCAAATTGGGTAGCTCAAAATTATGCGCTGAAAAAAATGTAATCCTAAAAATGCCATCATTGAGGTTTGTATTTCTAAGAGCATGTAAATGGCAATAACTTTTTTTAAAATAAGTGGATGCTGTTATTCCTCAGTTGTACTTTGGTATATCTGTTCCAGAAGTGGTATATGGTAGTGGCTTGAAGGAATCCATCAAATTATGGCAGGGTTATATAGTCTTATAGAAGTCTTATTGAAGGGTTATATAGACTTATATAGTCTTATAGAAGGACCATTCTGCATCCTCTGGCTTTCATGTATTTAGAGCCCTCACTTGAAAAGGTATTTCTTAATGACCCACTTTTATTGTGATACATTTGAAACTGATTTTTCTTAATGGGGGGAGAAATAACTCCACGTGGTCGTGAATGTAATAGAAGCTTCTTGGAATTAGTTGGTCTGAACTTAGATCTTTCTTGGACAGAATTTTAACCCCTATGTATTTGGTAGCTTTCTCAGTTGGCTACAGCCTATCTTTATTTTTGTCTGTATTTTCTGAATCAGAGTAGATTGTTTACTCCTGTAAATTATCCCAACACCTTTATTTCAAATAAGAGCAGGGCTTTCCTTAGGAAAGGAATTACTGAAGAAAATTTGTGATAAGGTGATCCAGATATAATTTTGGATTTGTTCTAAGTATCACTCAAAGGATAGCTCTTGTGTGTCAGAGGGAGAAATCCTTGCCGCACCAAAAGGACAGAGCTATTACGTTTAGGATTATCAAAGTACAAATTGCTTCTAAAGGTCATCAAGCTTTGAATTCCTTCTAATTCAACGAAACATCCAGAGAAGTATGTAATGTGCAACTATTACCTGCTTTATGGATGAGGTCCTGGGCTGTTGGCCACCTCAATTGAACAATATTTTTGTAAGCAACTATGTCATTCTGTCATATGATGAGAATGAACATGCCTTCTTGCTTGCAGCCCCAGGTAAACAAGTTGCTCCATGTTGTTGAAGAACAGGAGAACTTGCTGACAATTTCTTTTCAGTTGTGGCAGGAGAGGAGGATGTCAGGTAATTTCTGAAGCAGTTCCTGTTGCTCAGTTTATTTTAAATAGCATTTTAGTATCAAAACTGTTCATGCCCGTATGCATAAACCTGTCAGAATCCCCCCAGCAATAGCCCTCCATTACGCATATTTACTGTTTTGGTGCTTGACTGCCGTGTCAAGCCTCTCTCTGCAATCATGGAACCTTTGTAATTTTAAGTGGATCTACGCTGTGACTTTCTACTTATACAGTATAAGTATGTAAGATGGAAACGGTGGTGGTTGCATGGCTGTTCAAGCTCATTTTCCTTCTATGAAGATTATAGGAGAGAGTAGCTCTTTCCTGCAGATCCATGTTGTTTAGCAATAAGGGCCAGACAGTACCTAATGTGCAGGGGACATCTCATACCAACAGTTGGACAACCTGCAACTCTTGGCTCTTTGGTAGCATGGGGCCTGAGAGGAAGGCTTTGAGAAAGAGCTTAGATTAGGGTGTGGAGCTTATGGCCCTCCTACTATTGCTGAACTTGAACTAAGCATTCCTTTTAATTGGATGTGATGGTTGGGGCTGATGAGAGTTATACTTCAGTGGCAATGACAGCAAGAGTAAGCAACTTGCTGTCCTCCAAATGTTTTAGTCTTCCATTCCCACTGCTTATGCCAAGCACAGGTTGAGGATTGTTTACCTTTAGCTAAAGACCCACAAGTCAGCTTCCTGTCTTGCATGTTATTGGTGCCCAGGTTTTTAACTTGACAAAACAAGTGAGACACGTCCCTAGCCTCCAGTGTTTAGGACTAGAACTCATTAGAATAGTCAATATCAGTCCAAGGTGGGGAAGGCAATAGTCTGTGGCCCAGCAACACTTTCTAATTTTAATAGTCTGACGTTTTGTGGTATCAAAAGTTAGAACAGATGCCAGATTCCTTGCTCCAGTGGTTGCAAGCGGGGATACCTTCATCCTGCAAAACCCAGATGAATTCACAGCTGAGAGCTGTGGGAAGTATCAGAGCCTCTTGTTGCTGCACTTGTTTACCCTCTAGTGCTGCTGAGATACCCAAGGAAAGCTGATGACATACAGTTCCTTTTACAGAAGTAGCTTGGCTTCTTATTTTTTTCAAGAGAAGGATGAAAACTAATGTGCATCTCATCAAGTCTTTCTGCTGGAGAGGTGATGAGTTGGGGTGGTTTCCAACAGTTAAAGTGAGGAGAGATGTCATGGGAATTGTGGGACTATTCTCCATTGATTACTTCTAAAACTAACAGTCTGCTATAAAAATGTCAACAAAGACTCCAAGAGTTGAATGTGATTTGATGCCTACAGAGGTTCAGTTATGTTATGTGAGGAAGAAGCTGAAATGAATGGCACTGTTATGCTATTTTAAAATTAGATATGCAGGTTTGAAAGTTTCAGTGGGAAAAAAACTAGTTGCTTTTAAAACCTAATCATTTAAGGTCACGAGATGGATGTATCATTTTCGGTATATTGAAAACCTCTGTCCTTTTGACTAGCTAAGTTTGATTTTGACCAATTTATTTTGAATTTGTTTTTTAAAATACAGATTTCTTTTGAATCAAAGTGGTAAAATTAGTAATCCAAAAATTTAACTCCTTGGATGTACTAAAAATAATACAGGTAGTCCTCGACTTATGACCACAATTGGGACTAGAACTTCTGTTGCTAAGCGATGCGAACTTTAAGTTAGTCACACCTGATATTACGACCTTTTTTGCCACAATCATTAAGTGAATCGCCATAGTAGTTAAATCCAGATTCCCCCATTGACTGATCGTCAGAAGCCCCCTGGAAAGGGTTGCAAATGGTGATCATGTGACCCCCTGGGACTCTGCAACTGTTGTAAATGCATGCCGGTTGCCAAGCACCCGAATTTTGATCACGTGGCTGCAGGATGCTGTGATGGTCATAAGCATGAGTACCAGTCGTATGTCCCTTTTTCAGCACCATCGTAACTTTGGTTGTTAAATATCTCCAGAGTTGCAAATAGGCCCTTGGTTGGAACTCCTAGATGTGTAGCAAGATCAACAGAGTCTTCGGTGTGGATCCTAACTTAAAATGTAGATGTAATAACTGAGGTGGTAAGGGAGAATTTAGGTATAACTGATGCAAGCTGTAGACTAGAAGAATTCAATACTAGAGGGGAAAGCAACTACTGTACCATTAGAACTTTTCTTTACATCTTTTGGAAACTGATAAAAGAACCCACTTAGTGGAGTCTTCCATGAAGTCACATGTATTCTCATACCACTCATCAAAATTGGAGGGCTTTCCTCTTCTTTTATTCCTGATGCTCTATTTTGGCAACACAACTTCTCCAGATCACTTACACAACCAGGCTCCCTCTGGATGTATGGAACAGGCAGAGAAGCTGCAGATGAGCTGTTACTCCAGATGCCCATTATTCCCAGTTCCAATTCTTCCTCCAAATAAATACCTTGCAACTCTCGAAATTTGCAGTCATATAGTGGAGCTTAGATTCAGTTACTCTTCCAGTTCAATAGTTATAGCACAGTCAAGCAGCTATAGTTATGCGAAGTGGGGTGAATGGAATAAAGGTTATAAAATAGCTATGGTCTTTCATACTCTCTCTCTCCCTGTTGTAGGCCAGGAATTCCCAAAGTTTGGTATCATTTTCCTTTTTATTTCATACAAGAGCTGTATAAATGCTTAAATTGGATAAGGTTCATTCCCATTCATACACAGGTGAGTTTTTAAATACACAAGACTCTTCAGAATTTATGTGCTACAGCATTTAACAGCAGTGAAAGAATTGATCACTGACATGAGCTAGGATGATGCCTTGAATGGTCCCCCTTGACCACTTTCTGACCATGTCTTTGGCAAATATTTTTTGGATTTCCAAATTACAAGGAGCAAACTGAAACCATGAACTTGAAGAAAATGCCCAGCTGCCTTAAAGATAGCAAAATCTTGATTGCTCTTCATATAATCAAATTCTTCACTGTAGAAGCTTTTCACTCCTAAAATAGTTGTTTTTGAATCTTTCCTCATAATGATAGCTGTGCCCTTGGTTTTGGGAAACGTGTAAGTGGCTGCCAACAAGTTCCAGAAAGTAACGTAGAGTTTTGCAAATGGTGGCTTGCAAAGTATGAGGCTGCTGGTTGTCGATTGCAGTCCAAGCTGGACCTGCTGACTACTGCTCATCAACAGGTGGGCTGTAAGCTGAGATTCTAATTTATGCTCAAAAGGGGGAGGCTGGAGGCCAAAGCATCTCAGTTACAAGATCTCATGGCAAAAAGTATGAGCTGAGTGCCCTCAAAATAGCCAGAGGGAAGCTATATAACAAGAAACTCTGCAGGAAATCATCAGTCCTCGGCAGATCTTCACCCACATGTAGTGCTGTCCAAGAAAAGTCCTGAAAGGAACTGAAAATCATCGCTGGGTTTCTCTTCACCTTTTCATTGCAAGCTTTTGGGAGGAGATACTCCTTTGGATCTCAAGACATTATCGAAGTTTGGTGCCTCAACATTTGTGGGGTAGCTGTGTGCCTCTTCTGCTCTCCAAGACTCTTCCTCATTTTCGTTGCCTCATCTGTCTGTTGGGCTTCCTTTGCCTTCTGTGACCATGAAATACTACTACCCAGGCTCACTCCCTAGGTACAGGCGGTACGCAAGAAACCTCAAGACTGTGCGTTTCCCCAATGATGTTGTTTTCCAGGACCACATTCGACAAGGTGACTTGGAGCAAGTGGGACGTTTCATCCGGGCCAGGAAAGTCTCCTTGGATACCATCTATCCCTCTGGTATGTAGGATAGGGAAGGCCCAGTTGGAGGGTGGCTGAGTAGGAAACCCTTTGATCCCAGGGGAAAATAGGGGTTGCAAATTAGGCTGTGTTTTCAGTGTAATTTAAGGAAACAACAGGGAGCTTCCTTCCTGTCTCTCAGCTGCCATACAATCCACATTATTTTGGTAGAATCATTAATTCAAGAGGGATATAAACCTAAAATTCTATAAGCATGTACAGTACTTTCTCCAACTTAGAGTTTAACACTTGCTTAATGTGCGCAGTATTTTGATTCAGCATAGGAAAAACACATTCAAAGATGGGCTCTTGGCAGGATGAGCAATAAAACATAGTATCTGCTTCTCAGAAATACTTTGGAGGCTTATGCCCAACTCTAAGGTTGATTTAGTGTCTCTTTGAGGCATTACCTCTGGTTATTATCAGGGCATGGAAAGCAATACAAGAAAAAAAATAGCAAGAGAGGGTTTGATAAGCATAGAAATGATGACAATTACAGCTTGTAGAATCCAAGCAGATTATGTTAGGGTGATCTTAATCTTAATGATGGGCATTGTTTAGTCTAATCTTCCTAGTTGGGTACATTTCAGGTTATGTTGGGACTGTAACTCCCAGAATTTCCCAGTAGGCTTTGGTCATGCTGGGAATGCCAAAGGCTGCAGCCCTAATTCATGCGGAAGGTGCCAAGTTGGAGAAAGCTGATTTAGGTCATTCTAGCCCAGCACTGTAGGAGACTATAGGAGTCCCACTGAGGATCATTATGCTGGCCTTCATTCACTCTTTTTATAAATCAGATAATTCCCAAAGAGGCTTACAAAACATACCCAAGGAATCTTGAGCTGAAATTCTCCTCCCTTTTTTCCCCAAGTGAACAGACTTAAAAACATCAATGGTTCTGTGTGGATGCATGTTACTAAGTAATTCTAGTTACCTTTCTTTACTTCAAGGATTTCTCTTGCACTGAGAAGAAAAACCTGATAGGGCCCCTCTCAATTTATGGTACCCCCATCTGAGGGCTTCACAGGCTAGAGTTTGATGTATCACTTTTTCCAATTAGGTATGGCTGCCCTCCATGAAGCTGTGCTTGCTGGGAACCTTGACTGTGTCAAGCTCTTGATAAAATATGGTGCTGACATCAATCAGAAAGATGATGATGGCTGGACACCTCTGCATATGGCCTGTAGCGACGGCTATGCTGACATTGCAAGGTCAGAAATGCTAGACTGTTTACTTCATTCTCTCTTGGCCAGCTGTGCCACTCTCTTGATAAGCAGGAATTGCTGACTGCATGGCCAAGGAAAACAAGAAGAGGAAAGCGATTACTGGATAGTGAGCTTTGAAGTGACAAGAAATAAGGGCCTGCTGGCTCATTCTGGGAGATGGATGAATCCTCTCTTATAAACAGTGCTAATCCTCAGACACCAGCAGTGCTGATAGTACATTGTTGGCAGATTAACTAACTCTGGTATTGCCGAAATGCCAAGCAAAAAAAATTAAATGGAATCTATATATTTAAAAGGTTGTCTTTATGGAAACAGAAAATCCTTCAAGTCTAAAGGCCACTTCGTAACATCTTAAAGTCCTCTATAACACCTTGAATATAATGTATAGGGGAAATTGGTACATATGAACTGAACAATGCACGTGGGTAAACCAATTTATTTGATTTGGGCTGCAACTTTGATTCTTCTGCTGCAGCAGAAATAGCTCTAGGCTTCTGTGTACCACTGTATTCTCCATGTGTGAATGGTATAAAGGGGTAAACTTGCCTTAAGGGAATTTGAGAACAGAGTTGATTGTAATGCAAATTCCTATTGCAATGATTAGAACTGACTAAAGGATATCTAAACCATATTATACAGTGAACTACTTGAATGAACTGAAGTTTTTTTTACAAATATAGGTTAAACCAGACCCTTTCACTCTCTGCTCTATTTCATGATTTTCTCTTTCTCTGATCCTCCAGGTACCTCATCTCTCTTGGGGCCCAGTGTGATGCCACCAATAATGAGGGAGAGAAGCCATCTGACCTTATTGACCCAGAATACAAGGATCTTGTGGAGCTCTTCAAAGCAGCCCATGTAGACTAAGATTGTATCTCTTAACTCTTTTCCATGTGAAGTCCAATCTCCATGGCAGGCAGCAAAATCTGTTGCATGAAGGGAAAAAAACTAGCAAAGTTGCCCCTATGAACTTGGTAAGGGGGTGTAAAGTCTCCTAAAGGAGGCCGTACTATAGCTGCAATACATATATATGAGATTGACTATTTTGAGATTTCTCAGAGATATGCTTGGGATAGTCCGTCCAAAAAGAAATGGAACATTCTTTATTGTGGTCCATTGTCCAGTACAATAGGTGGTATATACTGGCTCTGATGGTGTGATTGTGTAGGCAGTTCACATATATGTTTGTGATCTGGATTGGACCGGACACCAATTTCTGTAATCATGCATCTTCCAATTCTCATTTTACAATTACTAATTTTGAACAGTGACCTCAGCAACATTCAAGTTATTTTCCTGAAGAATCCTTGCAAAATAATCATGAAAATATCTACCTTCAAACGGACATCTTTATGTACATATGGATTATTCTAAAACATAGTGTATAAAGTCCTATTTTTAATGTGTTGCCGATTCTAGATTTGCTTTTATACTGTATTTTTTATGTGATTCTGAAACAGCTTTTTATTTTTTCAATAAAGGAATTCTCAAATCCTGGGGGTTTTTTTCTTCCTTCTCTTCTCACATTGATAGCCAGGCTTCTGTTGAATCATTTGGGTTTTGCACCTTATGAAGCAATTGAACTCTTCTTTAATAGAATCAAAATGCATATGGAGAGAAGAGCATTCAGATCTGGAATAGGCCAATTAATTCCAGTGTCCAAAGAAACAGAATGTCTGAAAAGCAAAACAAAAAAATGGAAATGAAACTTCACCCAAGCTAGAATTATACGCATCCTACTATAGTTAAACCTCTGGAACTGCCTGTAATATCTGAAAATAGTGTTTTTACATTTCATCCAGTTAACTAAAATTTTCACGTGAAATAATGCTGCTTGGATATTTGTATAGCATCAACAATATGTAAGATACTGTAAGAGGTTACCTTTTTCAAGGGGAGGGGGAGGGTAAAGAATGCAAGAAGTCGCATAAACTCTGTACTTGGGGGCATGGCATAATGTAACAGCTTAAGAGAAGATGGACCGCATATATTATTCTGATAGATCCTATATATCCCTTCCTGTAACCACTGAGTGCCAGAGCTTGGATAGCTCCTAAAACAAATGGGTTGGATATACAGTAGTCAACTAAAGTGTAAAGGTCTGTGAGTTCAATTCCTAATAGAGGGTTTGAATTCCATGGAATAATATATGGCTGCCCACCGCTGAAGAATCCCAAATAGGATAAAACTGGTCATATAGTATCTGTCTTGGTGGTTAACATAACTGAAAACGCCACACTCTGTCAAACAGAAATCCCCCCAACCCCATATATGAGGGCATGGCATAATATAATAACTGTATTTCTCTGCTCTGAAAGCTTAAGGGAAGGTAGAATGAATATGTCATTCTAATATAAAGATTAGTGATAGAGGAAAGATATAGGGCTCATGTGGTAATTCAAAATATTCCTATGTTTTTCCTATGATATATAATGCACAGGAATATGATACAATTGGGCTTCTTAGTTCTGGTAGATTTTAGGTGCTGAAATGTTGGTTCTGCAAATACACTTGGTAGTGGATTAAGAGGGCATGTTATATATTATTCTATTCCAAATAACTTGTTTTAGCTTGGTAATGACCTGGTCCAGAATTAGACCTAGAAGAAATTAGATATGACATACCTTGGAAAACAATGTTTTGAGGTTGGTCCTCCCTCAGAACATGCCTACTGAGTGCTAAAAACTGCTTCTTTTTAATTGGGCAGTTTGTCTCATTGTGAAAATCAGTTGTGAATCATTTGTGCCATGTAGGTCAGCATGTTTTGACAAAACTTAGAGCAGTTCGGCTAACTGCTGTTCTAACCTTCTTGCAAAATGTAACTGTCACTATGGCGCTGATTCAGGCACATTTTCTTACTCATAACATGCATCTCTAGAGTTCAGAACAGTCTCATCACACTATCTAAACATAATGAGTGCAGTTTTTAATTTTGAGAATTGCTGTTTATTTAGAAGCAGTTTTAAACAATGATGTTGATAAATGGCAAGGCCTAATAAGCTGATCTTGTGGAAATGCTGAGTAGGATTCTCCAAGAAGGTGAAGCTTGTATGTCCCATACATATATTTGTTGTTCCTAAGAAAAATAGAAAATTAAGCAAAAACAAGACCCCACCCCACCTTATCTAAGTTGTAACTGATATAAATGTTGAACATTATTGCAAGTACTTGCCTAGCCTTGCTTATGAAAGTACGTATTAGACTATAGTCTGGCATGTTGCTTGGAGTTATCTCAAATTTTCTGTATATTAGGGTGATCAAATCTGAAGAGCTTCCAAATAATTAACTGAACCCTCAGTTACAAGGTTATTCTTGATTCTTTCTGTGAATCCCATCTAGACCTAGTCAGTCACAAAATATTGTGCAGGATCATGAGTGAGAATTATGGTATTGTTGTAAGTTTCTCAGAAACTCAAGCACTGGATTCCGCGCGACACTGCAGCCTAAACCCCTGGTGGAGGAGGCTCCTATTATATTATTATTGTTGGTCGCATAGTCAGCCAGAGGTTTAGACTGGAATTGGCATTTTTATCCACCTATTGAGTCCTTCCCAAGGACCTGG